GCACGCGCAGGAGACGCTCTGTGACTTTCGGGGGGATTTAAACACCCCCCCCCCGATTTTTTCCCCAAAGGTTTCGCATTTTTGTGCACCCCTGGGGACTGCCCCAAGAGTGCACAAAAATCTCCCTGCCCCCCAAGTCGCCCCGGAGCGCGGATTTAGCGATCCGCACTCACGGGGCGACTTGGCTATTAGTATAAGGATATGGAGCAGAAGTCCATCAGTGGCTATTAGCCACAAGGTATAGATAGGAACTCACAGTCTGGGGCAAGTGATGCACTATATTCTTGCTGCTGGCGGGGGAACAGTGGGAGGGCTTCTAGTGTCCTGGCCCCAGTGCTGGACCTCCTGATGGCACCTGGTATTTCTGGCCACTGTGTGATACAGAGTGTTGGACTGGATGGGCCACTGGCCTGATCCAACATTGGCTTCTCTTATATTATTAAGAAGTGAAAATTAAGGGGGAGCATGGAAAAATTAGGAGGGGGGAGATAGAAATGAATGAGAAAAATGTGGAAAAGAGGGAAGAAAATTAAAGAAAAGGAGGGAAAGGTTGTTTTACCTTGCTGCAACACCCTAGCTACCACTTTGCAAGATCTGGCTGAACTGGGTAAAAGGAAAGGAAGAGAGAAATGCTAGACTATTGTAGAAAATGACCTCATTTAGCAGGCTGCGGCTGACAGTTAGTGTAGCACCCATCAAGCTGAGTTACTTGTTTTGCTCCCTTGCTGGATTAGTTGATGGGTCTAGCATGATCTGTTAGGCAAATTTGCTTCAGTTTTGGAGAAAGGGAAGTCCAGTGGATAGTAGGGTGCCTTTTACTGTGCTCAGACTTCCCTGTGCCCCCAGTGGCTGTAGCCAGAACTGCATTAAAATGGAAAGACTTTTGGCTGAATGCTGCATGAGGCTGGCTTCAGGGGCCCTCCAGCTGACTTGGGTTCCCCAAATTTTGTCCCCCCATTCCTCCCTGTTGGTAGCCCTGGCTTCGGTACAGGAATTCTTTCAGTTAAACAGTTGGCAAGGCAACCCTACCTGCAGGGTAGAGGAAAAGGAAGGGGGAAAGCAAAATAACAACTTTGAGACCTGGTGTGTTGTTGTGATCTGCAAAACCCAGTTGTTGTTGGGACCCAAATTACTTTTCATCAGAATCACCTGATGAGAAAGGCCCTTTCAGATTCAGGCCTAGGTCAGGCTGAATAGGAGCTGGTGTAGCATAGTGGCTAAGAGAGTGAAGTATAATTTGGGTAATCCTTCCTTTAAATTTCACCTCTGCTATGAACTGCCTAGGTAGCATTCTCTCAGCTCCAATCTGCTATTCAGGGACAATACTGACCTGCCTTACAGGATTGTTGTAAGAACTGCAACAAGAGAAAGTACGTGAAACTCTTTGCACGCTGAAAGCACCTTACGAACTCCAGTGACAGACCAAGAAAGGAGCCATGGGGTGGTAGTGAATAGCTTTATGAAAATGTTGACCCCGTACACAGCTGCTATGAAAAAGGAAAATCCCACACTAGCCCTAATTAGAAAAGAAATTGAGAATAAAACTGCTGAGCCCTGACCTGGATAGCCCAGGCAAGCCCGATCTCGGAAGCTAAGCAGGGCTGACCCTGGCAAATAATTGGAAGGGAGACTTCCAAGGAATACCGGGGCTTGGGACACAGAGGCAGGCTATCAAGCCACCTCTCTGAAACATTTCCAAGCCCCCAGTATGGGTCACCCAAAGTGACTTCCAGGCACACATACACACAAAAAATCCCCACCAAGAGAATAAAACCGCTGCCATCATACCGCCCTTATATAAACCAATGCTGAGTCCACGTGTGGAATACTGTATACAGTTCTGGTCACTGTGCTTGAAAAAGGATATTGTAGCGCTTGAAAGGTCGCAGAAAAGAGCAACCAAAATAATTAGGAGGCTAGAGCACCGGCACCATAAGCCTCAGTTAAAATTCTTAGGGCTGTTTAGCTTAGGGAAAAGGTGAGAAAAAGGAGACACGATAGAGGTCTATAAGATTACACATGGTGTGGAGTGGACACCGAGTAGTTTTTCTCCCTCTCTCATAATACTAGAACCTAGGGGCCATCCACTGAAGCTGAAGGGTGGGAGTTTCAGGACTGACAAGTACTTCTTTACACAGCACATATTTAAATTGTGGGACTTGCCATCGCAGGAGGTGGTGATGGCTGCCAACGTGAAAGGCTTTAAAAGAGGGGCAAGCTCATGGAGGAAAGGACTATCAGTGGATAATAGCTGTGATGGATATCTGCTCCCTCCAGTATTAGCAGTAGACCTCTTTATATAAGTTGCTGAGGATCATGGGCGGGAGGATGTGGTTGCAGTCACCCTGCTTGTGGGCCTCCAAGAGGCAGCTGGTTGGCCATTGTGTGAACATGCTGGACTTGATGGGTCCTGAGTCTGATCCAGCTTGGCTTTTATGTTCTTATTATCAACCAAGAGTACCCTCTTGCCTGGACAATGCAGTGAGTCTAAACATCAAGCACATTTTCAATAGATAAGCAGCCCCCACAACTGTGGAACTTCCTTCCCTTCGATCTAGCCAAGTAGGAATTATAATTTTAAAACAATTTTTAAGTGACTACTTAATTATTTTGATGCATTTTAAACAAATGTGTAGTGGTTAAGTGCATGGAGTCCAATCTGGGAGAACCGGGTTTGATTCCCCACTCCTCCACTTGCAGCTGCTGGATGATCTTGGGCAAGCCATAGTTCTCTCAAGAGCAGTTCTCACTCAGAGCTCTCTCAGCCCCACCTACCTCGCAGGGTGTCTGTTGTGGGGAGGGGAAGGAGCTTGTAAGCTGCTCTGAGACGCTGAGTGAAGGGCAGGGTATAAATCCAATCTCTCTTCCTCCTCCTCCTCCTGAGAAATCCTAGAATTGTAGTGGTTTAGGAAATAAACTGGTTCCAAAGCAAGGTAATTCTCAATATCACAAAGCTCCTGGAGATCATTAGAGTACACCTGTGCAATCTGTAGGTTGGATCCAACAACAGAAGATGCCAGTGGCTGTGGATCTTAGTCCCCTTCCCTACAACACCAGTAGCCCCTTTCCAGCCCCAACAAGATTTCCAGGATTATGGGACCTGTGTGGTCCAACAGCCATGTAGACTAGAGGCCTGAGAAAGGGGCAAAGTCGCACCTCGTCTCCCTTCTGTTAGTGAAGCTGCACTTGCAGAAGAGGCGATGATTTCCGACCTTTCCCCCTTGTTAGTGCAACCCTTCAAACCACATTGCTATTACTCCAGATAAGCCCCATAATCACAAAAATCAAATTTCCTGGGTAGAATGGCTTCCTATGGAAAGGGCAGTGTGGCAACTTCTGGCATCACTGAAATGCTGGATTCAGCCCAGTACCTGGCACTTGAAATTCACAAATGGCAAAGAAAACCGATTTCCTCAAATGAAGGTGTTAACGTTTGGACAATTTAAATAACACGAGTGCAAAATTGAGCAATGAAATCTAAAACGGAGCAAGTTCTTATTCTCAATGTGCAATACAAAAACAGAAAGAATTGATTCCTCGTGAAGTAGAAGCAAAACCACTCCAGGACACAGGGGTATGCATGTATACAGCAGAGTATTCTGGGAACTGACTGATGCCACATTGTCAAAAGGGATTGCTATCTACAGTTTATGGGACTGCTGACTTTTGACTTCGGTATCTTAAAGCAGAGAATTCATACAAAGCAGATGGTGGTCCACATTTTTATGCGAGGCAGTTGAGTATGATGAAATTCTGAAAAACTGGAGAACAGAGCAGGTACCAACTGGCTTGCTTCATCCAATAAAGCAGAAATATTTTACCCAAGCAGCCTGTGTGGCTCTCTCTCTCTCTTACAAAACAAAAAAAACCCCTCTTATGCTAAGAATTGCTGATGGTATTAGACATTATAGAACACTGCCAGCTCTTACATTCACTCACTGCTAGCCCATCCCGCTCTAGTACACTCATGTCAAAGAGGAGACAGTGAGAGAAACCAGCTCTAGGGAGTGATACATGGGAGGCTGTGCTTCATTTATAACCCCACACATATGCTGGAAAAGGTTCAACTTTAAAAAGCATTATATCGCTTACCTTATGGGCCCCTGTGGATGGTGAAGTGAAATTGCATGAGCACAACATGTCTATTAATCATCACTGTGATACCAGTGTGAGAAACATCCCTGTGGCTTATGTTCACTTCGAAGAAAAATATCGAGGGGGAAAATTTCCTCCTGGTAGCTGTGTAGTTTCAGCAATTTGTATATCTCCATTTCTTATGTCATCATAAATGAACACTGATATCGGTTTGGATGGGGTGATAGATGGTAACCTAGCTGCAGGTTTGCAATTCAAGGGATTTTTTTCTCCAAAATGGAGAACAGCATGAAATGCTACTAGGAATGAGAATGTGGACCAGCTTTTCCAACTTTCTGATATTGGTTTAGGGCATAGGATGAGATCAACTTTTTTTTTTTGGGGGGGGGGGAATAAATGAAAACCTCAATATGTAGGAAAAGTTAAAATCATGGAATCATTTGGCCAGTAGTACTACCTCATGCTTTGCAACCAGCAGTCAGCCTCTTTGTGGGAATAAAAATGAGCCTTTGTGTAGGTAAAATGATTATGCAGTTTTGTAGTGTAAGGCTTATGCACTTTCTACTGAAGCACAAGTCACTTGGATTAAATGGACATCCTAGCAAAGCCTCTGAATAAAGGTTTGAGAGACACGTGTGCCATCCAATGCTGCACAACCACTGAACAGAGTTTAGGCCTCACACTTTCCCCCAGAATCAGAAATGGAGCTGGGGGGAGTATAAAACCTGCCTTGTGTGAATGCTTGTGTATGGTCAAAGGAAACATTGATTCTGTCTGCTGTAGTCTGAAGACATTCCTTCCAAGGTATCAGTCTTCAACTACAAATAGTCAAGCAATTCCAGAAACAGTTCCAAGTGCCAGTGACAAAGGCCACTTATTAAGTTTTGATTTATGCCTCATCAAATGGTAATGTGAAAAACCACATCAAAAATTTAATCCATTAAATTTGGGAGGAGTTGTATCTGCTGCTTTGGTGGTCTTGTAAGTAATAACATGGTGCTTTGCTTGCAAGAAGTATGTGGCCACAAGGTCTTTGGTGATCACATCCAAAGTATGACGACCTGATATCCTGCCCCACTGTTGAGCCTGAGATATTTCACAAAGTATATTGCCCACAATGTTACTGTAATACAGCTAATCACCAAGAACACACTGCAAAAGAAAATTAACCATAGATATAAAAACAAGACAACCTAGGAGACAGCCTAACAAGGGTCAAAACAGGGTCTCGTTCGAATTTTGGGCTAGGAGCATTTAGATGTACTTGCTGTTCTGAAGGAAGTTTCAACACACCATCTACCAAATTTATTGCCTTTCAGAGGGTCTTGGAAGCAGTAGCTTCAAGTGGTACAGCTAATGTTCAAGTGAGCACAATACCTTTCCCTCACACACAAAAGAAGCTGTGTGTTCTTAATTAATACAGACACTAAGGCTTAAGGAGGGCTACAGCAACTCTCAAGCACCAAGAACGGGATGTAAAATGAAACAAAGTCATAGAGCTTGTCTTCTTTCACACCCTTAGCTGCAAGTGCTGTTGTGCCGGGGTGCTGATGTTAGAGTTCCTGAGAACTGGCCGGCCCAACCACGAAGGTCCTCTCAAATTTGAGTCAGTTGATGCCAGAGACCAGCAGGCATGAGGCGCTCAATCTTCTCCATCATGAAGCTCAAAGGTGACAAGAGAGTTCCAAAGAACTGAAAGATAAAAAAGAGATCAAATGAATCTTAAAACCAATCTTCATAAAAAATTATTCCTTCACAAAGGTCCAGGAAACATTTTCCCCCCTGTATGTATCACTAACAGAAACAGATTTTCATGAAAATAAGTGAAATAATTTTAATAGTCTAACTAAACTATGTTTAGGACATTAAAACATCACCTCCCCAAATCAACAAATTGGGATAAAGGGAAATACAAACAACGTTTTTGTATCTTGCAAAAATCAAGGTATTTATTTATTGATTTGATTTCTAGCCCTCCCTCCCCTGCACAGCAAGGCTCAGGGCAGGTTACAATGCTGTAGATACAAATATAACTATTAATATAAATATAAAATAATCTCTAAAACGCTATAGACCTCAATCATCTATTAAACAATAAGATGACAGTCAGTAATACAAATTAATGCATCCACTTCCACAGGCTTGGCACGTATGCAATAGTAGATATTAACGAATACTGAAGCAAGTGGGTGGACCAAGATCCAAAACAAGATGGAACATAACAAAGCATGACAGAGCATGACAAAGCAGGGGAGGCCAATCCAGATGAAGTTCCGTCGCCTCAACCATAGGCCTGGTGGAACATCTCTGTTTTACAGGCCCTGCCGGAACTGTATTAAACCCCGCAGGGCCCAGATCTCTCTTGGGAGAATGTTCCACCTGGACGGTGCGCCAGAGCTGAAAAGGCTCTGACTCTGGTTTAGGCTAAGTAGATATCTTTTGGACCTTTTGTTTTTAAAAACTCACAAAGTGAAACACTACCTCTGTTTTCTCTGCAAAACAACTGATAACATTTGGAAGTGGAGGGAGAACAGAAATGTAGGTAGTTAACCAAACTGCACCATTAAATTTGAAGTTTAGCAAAGCAATATATGGCATGAATACTTTTGACTGATTAAGAATGCTAGCTTCTTTCCCATGTTTTCTTATGACAACAATTCAGTCAGTTCGAGACATTTTTTTCCTCAGGATTGCCCTCATTAGAGAAAAGCAGAGAGTGGAACTTTGATGACCACAGAAAATATAGCAGAACTGGAACAGAAACCAGAAGTAAAATTTTCAAGCCATTAGCTATAATCATTTAATAGTATCTTCATTTCTGTTTCAACTTTATACCAAGACAAACATGTACTATACTTGACTTTTTAAATAAACTTTTAACCTTGTTCAGCCCTTTCACATTCAGCATTCATATTACTTTAAACAATAGACCATCCCATCTTCTCCTAATTGCCTTCTGTAATCTGCTAAAACCTTTCCCTATTCTTCACATCGATAATTAAGTCCAGAAAGTTAATGTTAAAAATACTACTTTGTGCCAATGGCTTCAGGCCGAGGCAAACGTGTTATCCACAATTGCCTTGACATAGAACAGTTTGTGACTTGAGTTCCACCAATATATTAATGGAACTTTTAATCATAAGATCATTCTTCATATGCCAAGAACATACAGAAGCCAACCCCTAAATTATCTGCCTATGAGTGGCCTCTCTCATATCCCGAACACCGATTAAGATGCTGATTAGCAAAGGATGAAAATATTGCCTTTCAGTTCTACACCTTCAGTTTGTGGGAGAAAATTTCAGGCACTTTAAATGTAGAATATTATTCATTATACCTTTCCAAGTCATATAACATTCTCACAGATAAGCAAAAGCTTCAACTGTTTATAAATCTGAGATGTTCAACAGCTGTGTAGTAACTTAATTTTTCAATGTCACTTAATGAGCCTCAAGAAAACAGTGCAGGGATTTATTCCTATTACAAAATCTGTTGCCGTACAGATTAGTAGAATGAATGTCCTGGGATTCAGAGGTTTATTCAGCATAGTGTTATGCCTCCAAAACAATATGTAGAGCTCCAAAATGATTGTGGAAGAATCCTCTACAGGAGATGGCGCTGGGATGACCTACAAGTGGTCATTTCACTCTATGTCAATGACAATTATCTAATTTTGCCTAAATACTGAAGCAAATTTGGAGGTTTCAGCTTGGGGAAAATTATCCAAGGATTTTTGAGGGAAGCAAAAATACAAGGTAACCTTTCTCAAATATCAACAACCTCAGTTATGCAGACCATACTGCTCTAATGGCAGAAAGTGAAGAGGACCTAAACAGTCTCTTGCTGAGGGTGAAAGAGGAGAGCGCAAAAGTTGGCTTAAAACTCAACATTAAAAAAAAAAAAACTAAGATCATGGCATCTGGCCCTATCACTTCTTGGCAAATAGAAGAGGAAGTCATGGAAGCAGTGACAGACCTTCACGTTCCTGGGATCTAAGATCACTGCAGACAGTGACTACAGCCATGCAATTAAAAGATGCCTGCACCTTTGGAGGAAAGCGCTGGCAAAACTAGACAGCATAATAAAAAGTAGAGTGCCAACAAAAGTCCATATGGTCACAGCAATGGTATTCCCAGTAGTAATGTATGGCTGTGAGAGTTGGACTATAAGGAAGGCCGAGTGCCGAATAATAGATTATTTTGAATTAAGGTGCTGGAGAAGACTCTTGGGAGTCCCTTGAACTGCAAGGAGATCAAATCAGTCAATCCTAAAAGAGATCAACCCTGACTGTTCCCTGGAAGGCCAGATACTGAAGCTGAAGCTCAAATACTTTGGCCACCAAATGAGAATGGAGCACTCACTGGAGAAGACCCTGATGCTGGGAAAGGCTGAAGGTCAAAGAAGAAGGGGACGGCAAAGAATAAGATGCTTAGACGGTGTTGTTGATGCAATGAACATGAAATTAAGAAAACTCTGGAGCACGATGGAAGACAGGAGGGCCTGACGTGATGTGGTCCATCAGTTTGTGATGAGTCAGACTCAACTGTGCAACTGAACAACCACAAACCTTTCTCAGGAAACCTCTGCACATCTCGGCATGGGAGCCACGGACAACTTTAATGTGTAATGGTAATCAAATAATGATGTGGGTGCCCTCCAATTCTCCCTCTAAGCTGAGGAGTCTTGTGAGCAAAAATCTACTTTGCGAGCTACTGGCATTAAAGTTGTGAGCGAGCGATTTGGCTACTGCATAAATTAGTTTGCTCTAGAGCCATCCTTCCTCAGCTAAGACAAAAATGTGTGAGCCAGAGGCTGAAAAACTAAGCTAGCTCACACAAACTCAGGGGAACACTTGCCATCTGCCTCTTATCAGAACTGGATGGTTAGAATGGGAAAGTGGCAGTGCAATCCTACATAAAATTACTCTGGTCTACGTCAACTGAAATCACAAGGCTTCAACTGGAGTAAATCTGTACAGAATTGGGACTTTGGGACTTATTTTCAGCACACAGAAAGCAAAGACATCAGTAGAACTGCCACCAAAATGTTACTTCAAGCATATTTCTGAGACAAATTTGGCAATTTCCGGCTCAGTATAAACATCTGAGGAATTAAGAGGAAGTATGAGAGGCAACCAGCAAACTAGTGATAGGCTTCCACACATTGTAAACACAATGCTGCCTTCCTAGATCTAGGACTCTGGGCCCCTGATGGGTACAGAACTTCCGGGTATTGAACCCTCTAAACAAAGTGTGTGAGTGTGTGTAAAAGGGAAATGCTTGATTTTTCTCTGGAAGTCTGCTATATGGAAGATCAACAGCAAGTGCTATAGAAGCAACTGGCTCTTCAAACACACAAGGAAGACGAGGAGGAGGAGATTGGATAAATAGGGAGTTACCCAAAAAGACGGACACAACCACTTTTAACTTTAAAAGGGGTAACTTCTCTGATATGATGGGACATGTGAGGAAGAAACTGAAAGGAAAAGTAGAAAGGGTTACAACCATTGGAGAAGCTTGGAGACTATTTGAAACTACAATCCTAGAGACTCAGAAAAAATATATACCGCAGGTTAGGAAAGGCACAAATAGGTATAGGAAAAAGCCTGCATGGTTAACTAACAAAGTAATGGAAGCTGTAAAAGGTAAGAAGGATTTTTTTAAGCGGTGGAAAGCTAGTCTCAGTGAGGTTGATAAAAGGGAACGCAGGCTGTGGCAAATAAGATGCAAGTCTGTGATCAGGCAGGCAAAAAGGGAATATGAGGAGCATATAGCAAAAAATATAAAGACCAACAATAAAACTTTCTTCAAATATATTAGAAGTAGGAAACCAGCCAGGGAGGCAGTGGGGCCCTTGGATGACCAAGGGGTAAAAGGAGTACTGAGGGATGATAGGGAAATGGCTGAGAAGCGGAATGCATTTTTGGCCTCTGTCTTCACTGTGGAAGATGAGAAGTGCTTGCCCACTCCAGAACCGCTGATTGAGGTGACGAGAGAGGAGGTCCTAAAACTGATAGACAACTTAAAAACTGATAAATCACGAGGCCCAGATGGCATACATCTGAGAGTTCTGAAAGAACTCAAATGTGAACTTGTGGATCTCCTGACAAAAATATGTAATCTTTCCTTAAAATCTGCCTCCATTCCTGAGGACTGGAATCAGCATGGGTTCTGTAAGGGAAGATCTTGTCTCACTAACCTGTTAGTGTTCTTTGAGGGGGTGAACAAACATGTGGACAAGGGGGACCCAATAGATGTTGTTTACCTTGGCTTCCAGAAAGCTTTTGATAATGTTCCTCATCAAAGGCTCCTAAGTAAGCTCAATAGTCACAGGATAAAAGGACAAGTCCTTTTGTGGATCAAAAACTGGTTGATTAATAGGAAACAGAGAGTGAGTATAAATGTGCAATTTTCTCAGTGGAGGTGTGGTAAGCAGTGGGGTACCACAGGGATCACTATTCAGTCTGATGCTTTTTAACTTGTTTATTAATGATTTGGAGTTGGGAGTAAGGAGTGAAGTGGCTAAATTTGCAGATGACACGAAGTTGTTCAAGGTGGGGACAACCAGGGAGGAGTGTGAGGCACTCCAAAGGGATCTGTCGAGAATGGGCGGAGTGCAGACTTCCGGTACGGCGCGTTGACGGGCGGGTGGGTGCGTGCTGAGCTCCGTCCCCGCCCGCACCACTTTTGCCT